GAATTCTGTGTTGAACAAGACAGACACTATAAACTTACTGATTGGGACTAAGACAAACAGTGCACATTTAATTAAAAATGAAGTTCACGAACACTGTGTAGTTCTGTTCACTTAGAAATAAAGCTGAAATGCTTTCTCTTACTACTACACTGCACCAGGGAGCTCATAACATCCTTTAAAAAAATAAAATAAAATAGCCAGATGTGGTGGCACACACTAAGCACAGGCAGTTGGAAGGTGAGGCAAGCAGATCTCTGTGAGTTTGAGGCCAGCCTGATTTACATCGTGAATTCCAGGCCAGCCAGGGTTATATAGTAAGACTCTGCCCCAAACAAAGAAACAAACAAGATATACTGAATGTAAGCCAATCAAAACCAAGCAAATTTTGCTGATATTTTAACACATTTCAAAGTTTCTTTTTATTTACTAGTATTTCTTGACTCTGAGAGTTGATAATCCAATGGGCAAGAGGAATTGTAATACTAAAGGAACATTTGAGCAGCTTGCTCATCCATTTCAGCCTGAAAGGGGGAGGAGCTTATAAAGTCTCACCCAGCCCTGAGGGTCTCTGGGCAGTTAAGGATCTGGCATTTTCTTGAGTGGTATAGCCATGGGTACCCACATTTCAGTAAATACTCCCACTTACGTGATGCAAGCAACTCTAATTAAACTCAGCGGATTGAAAACAAACAAACAATAACCCCTCCCCCCAACCACCAAAGTAGGAGCAGGAGAGGGAGGGGATGAGAGAGGATAAGGGTATGTGTGAAAATTACCAGCCTTCACTATACACATGCATGAAATTATCAGAGAGTAAGATTTTTGTGTGTGGCCACATGTTCTGAGCCTAACAGAGAAGAATTCTTTTTTTAAAAATTCATCTATTTGTTTTACATTCTGGATGCAGCCTCCCCCCCCCACCCCAATCCTCCCCTCCAGTTCCTTCTCCTCCATTCCTCCTCTCACCCCTAATCCCCTCCTCTTCTGTCTCCATCCAGGAAGTGGCAGATCTCCCAGGAGTATCAACAAAACATGGCATATCAAGTTTGCAGTCAGACTAAGCACCTCCCATGTATTAAGCCTGGGCAAGGTGACCCAGTATGAGGAGTAGGCTCCCAAAAGCCGGTTAAGAGTCGAAGACAGTCCCTGCTCCCACTGAGAGGAGTCCCACAAGAGGACCAAGCTACAACTGTAACATATATGCAGAGTGCCTAGGTCAGTCCCATGCAGGTTCCCTGGTTGTCAGTTCAGTCCCTGTGAGCCCACATTAGTTGATTATGTGAATTTTCTTGTGGTGTCCTTGACCCCTCTGGCTCCTACAATCCACTCTCCCCTCCCCCCCTCCGCTCTTCTTCAGGATTTCCCATGCTCCACCTAATGTTTGGCTGTGGGTCTACATCTGTTTCCATCAGCTGCTGGATGAAGCCTCTCTCATGACAATTGGGCCAGGCACCAATCTGATCACAGGAGATGGCCAGTTCAGGTTACTTATCCACTATTGCTAGGAGTCTTAGTTGGGGGACATCCTTGTAGATTCCTGGGAGATTCCCTTGAACCAGGCTTTTATCTGACCCCCAAATGCCCTCCCCCTTTCCAGTCGTCTCTTTTAGTACTCTGTCCTCTGTCCTCCCAACATAATTACGATTTATAAGATAAACTTTATTTATTTATTAGTGTGTGTGTGTGTGTGTGTGTGTGTGTGTGTGTGTGTGTGTAGATATGTAGATGTGCATGTGTAGAGATCTGAGGACAACGTTTATAGAATTGGTCCCCTCTTTCTACCTTATACATGGGTTTGGAGGTGGGACCCCAGTTGTCAGGTTTATGTGTGAAGTGCTTTTTCCTGTTGAACAATCTCATTGATCTTAGATAAACTATTTTTAAAACCTTGAATACACCCAAGAGCTGTAAAAGAGACTAAGAGTCCTGAGGTTAAACTCCAATGACATGAGAGGAGCCAGCTGAGATACATGGGTACTTTGCCTTGGAAATATCTACTAATTCTGGAAAACTTGAGTATTCTTTAAAAAATATTTATGTGTATGTGTATGTGTACGTGTACGTGTACGCGTGAGTGTGTGCCACATGTGAATGCAGTGCCTACAGAGGTCAGAAGAAGGTGTCTGGTCCCCTGGAGGTGGAGCTACAGGCTTTTGTGAGCTCCTGACATGGGTGCTAGGAACCAAACTCACGTCCCCTGGAAGAGCAGCAAGTGCTTTTAACTGCTGAGCCGTCTCCCCAGCTCCTTGAATATTGCTTTTGTGTCCTTGTGTGATACAGGGGATAGAACACAAAACCATAGCACAGGCACAAATGTGCACCCGAAGACACATACGTGCCCATAGACACATGAACATGCATACAAACGTGCATAACACACATGCAAATAAAAATGAAATATCAAACATAATTTGTGAATGCTGCACATTTAAAGAAATAGAATGGGAGCTTGAAAATATTTTCCCCAAATAGAAACTGTAAAAGAAAAATAAGATAAAATATGTGAGAAAAAAGCAGTCTCTCTCTCATGAAATAAATAATGTAAAAGTTATAAAAGAGTGCTCTTCAGCAATAAAATAAATCAACATGTATAAACGTCCAAAAACAGATCATCGAGTGGCTGTTGTAAGTTATAGAAGAACGCAGAGTGAATATTTCACCTTAAAATTCGTGAAAGGACTTGTTTAATAATTTTATGCATGTTATTAAAAAACGTTAAGTGATTATTTCTAGTCTGTAGCAATGGATGGCTTCCTTCTTTTATTTCCAGTCTGTAGCAATGGATGGCTTCCTTCTTTTATTTCCAGTCTGTAGCAATGGATGGCCTTCCTTCTTTTATTTCCAGTCTGTAGCAATGGATGGCTTCCTTCTTTTATTTCCAGTCTGTAGCAATGGATGGCTCCCTTCTTTTTGTTTCTCTTGTTTCACAAAAGTCTGAAGTAAATAACCACTTTTGTAATAAAAAACAAAGAAACAAGCAAGCAACAGACTCAGAAGGTATTCTCAGTGCACGGAACAGACAAAAACAGGCAAACAAACAAAAAACCTACACTCAAAACAAGAAACTGGGAATCCAAAGAGGCAAACAGCACTTACCACCTGTCAGTCACTGTAGGTGCCTTGCATGTGCCCCTTATCTAACCCTTCTGAAACTTTTGAGGCATATACTGTTTCCTTCCCCGTTATGGATGAGGAAACTGGGACCTGGGGAAGTTAGACAACTTGCCTGCCGTCGCTGAGTTACTGAGGATGCAGCTGGAATTGAACCCTGAAGTCTGACTCTAGAGCCTGGGACCGTACATAATTCTCCCAGTGATCTCATGGGAAGACAGCTAGGGAAATGCAGATTAAACAGGAAGCAACACTCACACCTATAAGACATCTCTTCATCTATAAGACAGAAACATTACATTGAAGAACACCGAGGACTGGTGGTTTTAGCTGTGACTTGCTATAACTACTTAGAAGAGTAATATGGGAATGTCTAGTCAACCTCCTTGACTCTAAAATCTGCAGAGTTTACTTCTGTTTATAAATCTAGAAAGATATATGAGTATCTTGGGTGGATAAATGCAGACTTGGTTAAACTGTAAAAATGGAAATAAATGTGCAATAAGAGGGAACTGGGTCAACAAGACTTGGTCTGTTTGGATGCTTGTTGATGAGCTGAGCTGGATGTCATCATTAGGTGACAGAAACATGACCTTGAGTTCAGCACTTTTCAGTCATACTAATAACTGCTACCATTTATATTTTTGACACATATAAGAATAATTCTATGCATTATTCTTGGATTCAATAGCATCCAAGCAAAAGTTTAACAGAAGGTTTAAAGATAATTTAAAGAAAATCTGTTCAAAGCCAGTTTAACCTTGTTATTGTCTAATTTTCTTTAAAATTATTTGTTTATTTTAATTTCATGTAGATGGGTGTTTTGCCTGCATGTATGTCTGCATACTGCATGTATGTCTGTGTACCACATGCATGCAGGGCCTGCAGAGTCTAGGAGAGGGCTTCAGATCCTCTAGAACTAGAGTTACAGATAGTTGTGAACCACCTTGTGGGTGCTGGGAATTGAACCCAAGTCTTCTGCAAGAGCAGCCCATGTTCTTAACCACGGAGCCACCTCTCTAGCCCTGTCTGACTTTTTTTAAAGAAAGAAAAAGTAGATTGGACAAAGCAAGACAAAAGATTAGTGTGTCTACCTTTGTCTCTCTCATCTATACGTCAATAGCTAAATAGATAGATAGATACAGATATACAGATATATTTTTAATTTTATTAAATATATATTTATTTTCTCAAAAGTGAGATTAAAATATAAACTTTAAATAGACCAAAGAGCTAGGGAGATGGTTCAAGGGCTAAGAGCACATATTGCTCTTGTAAGGACCTGAGTTTGGTTCCCAGCACCCATATCAGGTGGCTTACAACCACATGCAAGTCCAAAGGAATCTGACATCTCTGGCCTCTACAGACCCCTGCACTCATATGACACACACACACACACACACACACACACACACACACACACACACACACACACACACACACACACACACACACACACACACACACACACACACAAATTTAAAAATAATAAAAATAAATCTCAAAACTAAACCCACCCAAGTAAAAGTAATTTTCACCAACTGAGCTCAGATTAGATGATTTTGTTGCAGCAGTTTTACAGATAGATCTAAAACCACACTAGCTTTGACTTTGTGACATCTAGTACCAAAAGCAGTGCCAAATATTAGGGGCAAAGAGTTCATCAGACAGCAGCCCAAGGCTGTGTACCTTCATAATCTACCTCATGTCATTTTCAAACCCAAGTTCCTTCATACTGAAGAAAAGCCCGTGTTCTGTTAAACACTTGACTGTGCTCATGCTGAACTGACATGGACTTCTAGAAGTAAGGAGAGAGTCCAGGAAAAAATAAAGCAATGTCCATGAACTCCAAAGACAGCCTTTTAAAAGCAACCCCTTTGCCTCCAGTACTTAACTGAGTCTTTGGAGGAAGCTGAAAACTTAACAAACAATGGTGGGACTTTCTGTTTAAGAGTGGCCACAACCTCTCCTGGCTGGCTGGAAACTCATGTGGTTCAGAAACAATTTCTTTAGTATGCCAAAGGAGCTCCATCTAGTCTTCCTGTCCTGGGTCACTGGGCTGTCCCTCTGTCTCCTAGCACTTTCAGAAAAGCCCCTTTTACATCCTTGTTCCGGAGGCTGTAGATGATGGGGTTGAGGAAGGCAGAGACAACATTGTAGAATAGAGCCAGCTTCTTGTCCCGCTCTGGGTCATACCAGGAGCCAGGCCTCATGTACATCATCATGGCTGGCCCATAGAACATGGTGACCACAGTGATGTGGGATGCACATGTAGAGAAGGACTTGAGTCTCCCCTGGGATGAGCGGATTCTTAAGATGGAGACAAAAATGCATGCATAGGAAGCCAAGATGAGAGAGAGAGGGATCAAAAGTAAGATGAAGCCCAAGATGAAGTCCAACTGGTCATTGAAGGATGTGTCTGCACAGGCCAACTTCAGGACAGCAGGGACCTCACAGAAGAAGTGGTTGATCTTGTAGGGGCCACAGTAGGGCAGACGCATGGTGAAGACAGTGTAGACCAGAGCACCAGTGATGCTAATGGACCAACAGATTGTGACCATCTTGATACAAACGAGGCGGCTCATGAGTAGAGAGTAGTGAAGGGGGAAGCAGATGGCCACATACCTGTCGTAGGCCATAATGGCATAGAGAACACACTCAGCGATACCCAGGACCAAGAAGATGAACATCTGGGCTACGCAAGCACCCCAGGAGATGGTCCTCCTTGGACACACCATATTAACCAGCATCTGGGGCACAGTGGTAGTGACATAACTCATGTCTACCAAAGAGAGGATACTGAGAAAGAAGTACATGGGAGTGTGGAGGCGAGAGTCTAGGTAGATCAGAGTGACAATGAGGCCATTGCCCAGGAGGGTGATCATGTAGAGCAGAAGAAAGAAGATGAACAGGGCCACTCTGATCTGTGACTCACCGGAGAAGCCAAGGAGGATAAACTCGGACACTGAGCTGTAGTTTTCCTTCCTAAGGATCTGCATAGTGATCTGGCTGTTACAGAGAGACGACCACTTTGCTCTTCTGTCTGTGGCCTGAGGGAAGGAACCGAAGCAGAGCCGCACACACAAGTTGCTTCCAATGATGCAGTCAAACCTGTGCTGAGTTGGATGCAAGGAGTATCAAAGCTAGGGTTGCTGTGACATCGGGCAAGGAGTTGAGAGATCTGACTGCTCACAGGATCGCCCCTGGGAGCCACCTTCATCCACGGAAGACAAGGAGTTAAGTGGCTATTTTTGCAGTAGGGAGCTCAGTCGAACCATGACCACTGCCAGTTCAGTCTACCAGGGATGCACACTGGTCCCAGTGGGTAGGCAGATCCTTCTGCTAGCAGAAGGTTAAAATTATGTCTGACTGTCTGAGTTAGCAGGCTATGGGTGCCTGGGGTACTACCAAGCCAAAGCTCTGCGGTAGCCACAGAGGTCACAGCAGAACAAAAGCTGTGGAGGAGACCAGTGGAGATCTTAAAAAGCTGATTAAAAACAGACAGGGTAACAAATGAAAGTCTACTACTGACTTTAGGTTATAGCCAAATCCAGGTAAAATATATTAATTTAGAAACTCATATATTTATTGATGAGGTTATAGGCAATCTTATCAATAGATTGAAAATATTAGGCAAATTAACTCAAGACAAAATTGCTACAATTGTGTTTGATGATGTAAATGTTTTATAGCATATTAGAGATATACTTGGGGCTGGGTATGTAGTTCAGTTGGGAGAGTGCTTCTCTAACATGCCCTAGGTGCAGTAGCACCCATAAACCTGGCATGGTGGCACATACCTGTAATCCCAGAATCAGGAGATGGAGACGGAAGGGCCAGAAGTTCAAGGTCATCCTCAGCTACATAGTGAATTGAAGGCTAGCCTGGGATACATGAGAGCCTGTCTCAAAAAAATAAAATAAAATAAATGCTTTTAACTGAAGCCATTATATTATGATCTTAGTATGACAACATTGTATTTGCCTAATAAATATTATGGCTTAAAATGGAAAAGACAAGACATATTTGACTGGCACAGGACAGGGACCTCACAGCCTGTGCATCTGAGGCAGTGATCCTGGGTTCTGTCTTGCTGCTCCCAGCTTCCCTGAGGCCTGTTCAGGCTTTGTTTCCTAACTTGGATATGTGAGATTTTCTGTTGCCTTCCCAGGACCAAGCATTTAATCAGATTCTCCTGAGTGGCCCAGTGGTAGTCACTTACCCAGCAATGTGACCTTGGGCCAATCCCTCTGTTGGTCTCAGTCTCCAAAACTGGTAATCGGAGATGAAGCATTTGCAGCACAGATTTATAGCGAGTTGCATGCGGGATATGGTGTTGAGACATTTTGTAGAATATAAAGTGAGACAAATAAAAGGAGTTAGTATGAGAGAAACACGCTCAGAAATCAGAAGTGTGATGGCTACTCCTGGCTTTGCCCTACTGTGCTGTGTGATCTTGGGTGACTCCACACCCCTCTCTGAGCTTCACAGAACCGCTATTGAAACTGAAGGTATTAAATATGTTATGCTTCCTTCAGCTTGGTTGTCTTTGATATCAAGCTAGAGACCTGGAAACATACCAGTGCCCTGAGCACCAGGGAAGGGCTGAGATGGGCAGGGCTGTGTGGGCAGGGATTTGTTCTAGGAGTTTGAGAAGTGAGCCCAGAGGACTGGTGGGTACCTAGCATGTGGACTTAGGGTCAACACACTTGAATCTGGTAGCCTCTGGGAAGGCAGCCATGCTAACCACTGGACCAGCAAGACTTTTGCAGACCTGACAGCCTCTTTATCACCTTCTGACTCACGGAGCTACTCAGATCCTTTGCTTTTCATCTATTAAATGGTATTATCTCTTCCATAGTGGAAACTCCATGACATATATCGGATTTACAGAAGGTCATCAATAAATCCTGATAACTTAGGTAACATGATGTTGGGTAGACGGAGGAGCAGGGAGAGGAGATACAGAGGCATGCCTGCATATCTAAGTCTTGGAAGGGCAGATCTGCATACCCAAGGGTGAGGACTGGTGGGCACGGGATGATGGTGGAGGCGGAGCAGACAGGCGTAGATGACTAAACACGCAAAAGAAGATATGTGAGACACGTACGTGTTCTGAGCTTCAAGGAGTGTGAGGAGTTGGATAAAGGAGAAAAATATCCCAGGTAGGGAAAGTGTGTGAAGGTAAGAGGTGGCCTAGCCTAGCTCAAAGCCTTGGGCCGTGAGAGGGGAGACTTTCAGGAAACAAGAATTGGTTTAATCAGAGCAAATGACCACCTTGACATCCACAGTAGGGCAGGGAATGTGAAGATGCCTGAATCCCCCTTCCAGCTGAGCCACACTCCAGACCTGAACCATCTCAGAGACCTCCCACTGGCCTCTTCCACACCCCAGCAGGTGCACCATCACTTAGCATACCCTTTCTTGTGTCTCTCTGATGGAACTCAGGACCTTGCTCAGTGGCTCTGAGTGGTTCTCAAGTTGGTATGACTTTCCAGCAGCCGAGGGAGACCCCTGAGTCAAGATGTTAACAAGATGACCAGCACTGGGATCCTGTCTGGACAGCTAGAGATTTGGGACTTCCGACAGCTGGCTATCTTAGTTCTTTTTCTTTTCACCCTTTCCCACGGTGGCTCTGCTGGCACTTTCCCTGGTTCTTTGTGTTTCCCCAGATCTTGTGCCCTGCACAGTCTCCTTGGGGTCTCCTGAACCTTACCTGACTGGTCCGGCCTTCTTTATTTCATGTGTGTACTGTCTTTCCAACCAGGCTGTGGGGTGACACTATGTACTATGTCTCTTTTAGATAGTTCCACAGCATCTAGCAAAAATAAGTACCTGTTAAGGGCTTGGAGAGATCGTGGGTTCAAGACTGAGTTCACTTAGGGAAAAAGATATGTAGGAGTTAATCCTCTCCCGGGCAATGGCAGTGAATCAGACAGACCTATCTCGGCATTAGGATTCTCTTAGTTAACTGAGTTCTGCTCTGCCTTCTACGAAGTGCCAGGGCTGGGACTAACCCCTGGGTCTTGAACAGCATAAGTGGCTTAACCACTGTGCTTTCCTGCCTCTTGCAAAGGTGATGAACGGGCAATAACCTCAAGCCCTTTCGCCAGGAAAGCACCCTGCTCACATTCGCTCTCCACCCCCCACCTGCCAGTGTCCCCTGCTCCTTCCCAGGCTCTGAGTTTCTGGTAGAGAGGAAAAGATCTTCACCCAGCACTCCCTCCCTCCCAACCCCCTGCCCTTGCCTTCAGTCACCTTCAATGACCAGCCTGCTCTATCTGAGCAGCTTCCCTCGCTCCTGTGGCAGCAGCCGCCTCTTCTCTCTGGGTCTGTGGGTCACAAGAGGAAGCAGTCCATCCTGCTCTGCTCACACTGACGCTCTACAGGAGAGGTCCACTGTTCTCCTAAGTGTGCAGGGCAGGGCTCCAGTGGCCAGACCCAGAGGTGCTCTTTTGTCAGATGAGACTGGAGAGTGAAGTTCCAGCCCCCGAGAAGCCCTGGGGATTACTTGCCCATGCCAGCAAACACAGCACAGGGCCTCTGGGTTGGATGAAAGATGCAGCCAGGAAGTCTAATGCCCCTAAGACATTTCAGGCTTGGCTCCTGGAACTGGGGAGCTGGGCATCCCTTGGAAGTTTCCATTAGGGACTGAAATTTCTTCCCTTCGAGACTTCAGAATGTCTGCAAGGATGGCCATGGGAACCAAGTGGTCAAAAGGCTGGGCAGATAGACATCCCTCCTCTGACCCAGTCTGAAGACTCCCGAATGCCCCCTTGAGTCCTACTGTAATTCCAAGAGAGAATAGCAGTTGTCTGGCCTCATTAACTGTTGCAGAATAATGATTACCACAAAGGAGCCTGCCTTGTGGATGAGGGGCATGGGCCAACAGTGAGCTGCAGTACCATCTAACTGGCTGGTCTTGGCTAATTATCTGGTAAGGATTCCTAAGACTCAGTGAAAATCATAAACTATGAACCGAGATGAGATTAACACCCAGAACACAGTGTGTTTAGGAAATGGAGGAAACTCTCCTTTCCCCTCCTTTTCCTCCTCTTCCTCCCTTCTCTCTTATTTTCCCTCCCCGTTCTGACCTCCCCTCCTCTCCTTTCCTTTCCTCTCCTCTTCATCCTCTTTTTCCGTTTCCTCTTCCCTCTTCCTCCTCCTGCTCCCCACCCGTCTGAGGTCACCCAGAGGCTGGAGCCTCGAATCACACCTTTCTGAAGTCCACTTCCATCTATTCTGGCACACTTGTTTGTCTCCCAGCAGAGTTTCTCTTTGTCCACTGCTTAGTCATGGTGGGCTAACTTCTACTTATGCACTAGGATTCCATTTGTGAAAATTCTGCTAAGAGTCTCTCAGTGTGTTTACAAGGGATATGAACCTGTAACTCTCTATCTATAATGTAGTTTCTTGGTTTTGTATTAGACCAGTGCTAGGCTGACAGACTGAATTGGGAACTATGTGTTCTTAAGTTTTCTAGGAGAGCTTATACATACTTTGCAGTGTTTATTTCTTTCTTATTTGATTTGTGGAGTTCACGAGCTAACCATACAGGTTTAGAATTCAGGCTGTGGAAGTGTTTTAATATGCATTCAAATTTTAAAAATTTAAGCTGGGTGTGGTGGCACAGGCCATTAGTTCCAGGACTCAAGAGGTAGAGGCAGGTGGATCTCTGTGAGTTGGAGGTCAACAGGGTCTACATGGTGAGTTCCAGGCCAGCCAGGGATGCATAGAGAGACTGTCTCAAAACAAAGAAAGAACGAAACGGAAAGTATTTGTGACTACTCAGGTGATCTAATGTTTCTAAATAAACTTCAGTGCTGAGTGTCTTTCAGTGAGTCTGTCCACTTTACCTAAGCCTTAATTTATGAGATTAAGGTTGCTCTTACCATTCTCCTTTTTGTATCTGTAGACTCTACAGTGGTGTCATCCTTCATATTCCTGAGACTGGGAATTAGCATCTTCTACCTTTATTTCTTATCTGTCCAGCTAGGGGGCTGTCA